ATGTATAACATGAAAAAACTTAGTCAAGTGATTTACATGGATCGTCAGTGAAAGCACTTAAAAAAAGAAAAGAAAGGTAAAAAAAAAAGAAATGATAATAAGCTTTATAGAACCTGTCTGCAATGCAAACATGTAATTGGAACCAGTCTTGTGACATAATAAACTTGTTTGAGTGGAGAGAAATTACTAAAGCGAAAGTCAGTTACTGTTTTAATGAGATGCTCGCAATAAATGAAATCATGTGAGTTTTCAAAACAACGAAGGTTCCAAGTGAACTCAAGAACTTTTGATTCGAATGATTGACATTAATTTCGTCATGAAACCATTTTAAATCAATTTTACAGTATTGACAGTTAATAGCTAGTGTATCTGAGTTGAATATCCATTATTATCGTGAAGTTTTGACGCAAGTTACAGGTTTTGTTCACCTTTAATTACACTGAAAGTACATATAAACAATAAATTCCCGCATTTTTACATTCATTGACGAAATTAGACATGTGTTAAACCCAATTAAGAGGTTATAATTCCCTTACCTTCTTATTGATATAAAATATTTATTTTGTACTATATATATATATATATGTGTGTGTGTGTGTGTGTGTGTGAATGATCTTAAATTAATTTAGTTCGAAAGCATACTTGCGCAATAGCTGCAAAGTAAGATAATAATAATTTATTTACTAAAGAAATATTGATTATATTATTTCCTAATATAAATTTACTAGAAGTATCAAAAAAGAGGGAACCCAAAAAAAGAGAGAATATATATATATATATATATATATATAATTCAAAAGTGAAGAAGAGAGCATGATTTACAGAATGACGGAGCTTGGTGTATAAACAATAAATGTTGTGTCCGATTTAACACTCACTTTTTTATTCTTGAGAAGAATTTTCGTTACATGACTTATACGATGTAATGGGCACATTGTGCGAGTCCGTTCTTGATTACATATGTGCTTTTTCTACATCTTTATAAGCTAATTTCGATCAAGGAAAGAATAGTAGGTGGCAAGCGAGGTGATATAAGAGAAGCCTGTGAAAGTATGGGACGTGTCTAAGATGAAAACCCTGTTTAGTAGGATTTAGTTTTAGTTCAGCTTTATTCTGATTGATTAATTTTAAGTTTCGGTTCGCAAATTTGGAATTATTATTGGCTGAAACGTTGTGTAAGTATCTGAGTCGTGAGAGTTATATAGGAATCGCGTGAACCGAATTAATTTTGAAATTACGCAGTTTAGGGTGATTTATTATAAGCAGTTCTCAGGATTTCAGCCAAGAGATGTTTGGAAATTAAAGTAAGAATTTTAGTTTATATGTTTTTACCTTATATACGTATGTAAGTATGTATTTATAAAAAGAGACTTCCATATTATCCGCTGCCTGGAACTTCAATTGTTGCCAAATTACGATAAAGTACCAAAAAAATGCTGCCTCATTTTTACCGTCATGTTCTTAACCTGCTCTAGTTTTTTTTTTTTTTTTTTTTTTTTTTTTTAAAGCTTCATGATCAATTTTGCTCTGTTTATCTTGAAATATTTTGCATTTCTTATCTTCTCCATCGATTACTAAGATTTCAGAAGTGCCGAAATGGCAGGTATCGTCTTTTTCACCAGAATCAAGGAATTTTCCCCTAAAAGTTAAGTAATTTTAATAGAAAATAATTATGTGTCACTAAACAAAGCATGATATGAAAATGCACCATTGAAAAACTCGGACTGTACACGTTAAATTTAGGTCTCGTAAACTGGGCATAACTATTCGAATAAAAGCGATTGCAACGTCCCATCTAGGAATTTAAAGAGGTTATTAAATTAAATTTAGTAACGAAGGGGGAGGTAGCCAAAAAATTAAGTTGCGAAATTGATTACTATTACCTAGTTGCCAATCGCATCCAATATCGACTATCAACATCCGATATTTAGTATTGTTAGGTTTTCTGTATTGATTTATTTAGTTTGATATTTTTAATAGAATTGTTATTAAATTGTTTCATTTCCCTGTACAATGCTGCACGCGACTTATTTGAAGAGAAAGCTATGTCGGGAAAATTAAAAATACAGGAGCACGCGCATTTAATAAATAGATATCTCGTAATTGTACGCTTTTGCTTTTCGGGAAAAATGGAGAAAATACCAGACTATGCTTGTGCTGATTAAAAAGCTCATAAAAGCCAGAGAAGGGGCATCTCAGCTCAGTTGTTTTATGAGTTTCTTTAGAAAACTGTTGTTGTTTATTGTAGCGAATTAGCGGTGAAATCGAATTAGCTTTCTCTATTTTTAATTAGTTCTGTTGAACATTTTGGTAGTTTAAAAGATAACTACTGCGAGATATTGAAAATATTTTACTAATATCTGAGGAAATTTAAGCATTTTGTTTTATTTGTTGTGATAATAATAATTTTTATTCACTTTTCATCGTACTTCTGCATTCAATATATTGCGAAACCGTACGCACATACACGCAACAGTATGAACATCCAATATCTAATATCTCATGTAGTATGTTGTCGACATCTAATGAAGTATAAACACACAATAAATGATCAGTTATGTATCATAGATTATAAATAAATTGCAGAATGTGTTTGCACAAATATGATTAAAGACGGATTTGCATCACGTGTGGTAAAAGCTCAAAATTTTCCATGTACTCTGAGATTTTATTAAACGATTAATACACGATCAACATGCATCTCCTTTATGCCCAAACTTAGACATGGAAAAAGGCCTCCGAAGTTTTCACTCGAATACATGCAAATCTAGGGCTGCCATGTAGAGGGCATTATTATTCCTCTATGCAATGAAGCTCAACTCTAGGAATATGGAATATGCAAATTGACGCGATCAATATTTTGAAATGGTAATAGAATGCGAGTTTTTCAAACCAGGCCTTATGGAACATGTGTGAAAAGAATGAGTGACTGAGTAAATATAGTGCAATATATTGACAACCTACCTATAGAGGGTGCGAAAGGTATCCACCAGTCACCTTGAGATAGGCAGTTGAGGGAAGTTGTGACTCTGGTTCAGTGGGTCTGCTTGCTATTTAAAGACCCTATCACATGTGTTTCCTCTACGCGGGATCTGACGTCGAAAGGGACATTTCTCAGAACCCGTACATTTCTACGAAACCTACGTAGCTGGGTTAAAATTTTTACTTACTAAACAGTAATAGATTATCGCTCAGATTGGTATCTCGTGATCCTTCAGAAGCAGAACGTTCGTCTGATTGGTTGATCTCTTCCATTTGGTTCGTGTACTTCCTCATCCATTAGGCTAATACGTGCCACTTTTTTCCAGAAATTTCTCCAGGAATTAATTCGTTCCTAGGGAAGCAGACTTACTCTTTTTGCCGTAATTTAATGACCAACCAACCAGTTAGAGGAAGAGGGCCTAAATATATCTAACTGCTGGTAAAATATCTTCCCTTATGTATTTGATTTTGTTTAATTTTTAAGTATACTTTTCCAAGAAAATGATACGTGACGTTTGCATCAGAACTTCATTGTTTGATAACTGCTCTTCGTTTTCTACAAAATTCTTCTAACTGATGCATTTTTGGCTAAGACCTTCCTTTCACACACTGCGTACCATATCACAAACACGGGAATATTATTGTCGTAAATTATGAGCCAGTTTGCCATTAAGTGATTAATGAAAAACAGCAAATAGTATTCACAAGTAATTGATTCTAATAGCACGAGTGGTGTTATTACAGCAACAAACACCAGACAAATTGCATAAATTTTACAAAAATTGAATTATATTGATCGAACTAGTGAAAATAGTGCAGAACTCTAAGCATTTTTGTAGAGATATTAGGTTAGTTGGAAAAGCCGGAGAGATGAAAATTGAGCAACCGCCTTCGCCGGGAATAGAACCGCGGACCTCTGGAATACGCGCCCAGCGTGCAGACCACCACACTACGAAGGCATGCCAAGGAAGGTGGAATAATACCTTATATTTTGAAAATTAGTAAAACATAACGTTCCATAAATAACGTTTATTAATTTTATACGCAATAATTCGCAGCTAGGAAACATTAAAAATTTTAGTAAACCTTTCCTAACAACTCACCTCTCTTTTTTCTTTCTATCTTTTTTTTTTTTTTTTTTCGAGGATGGGGTGAGGGCTTAAAAGGAACTTAACTTAAAGCGAGTTTCACACACTTTTAGTTATAAATATTTTCTTTACATTTCTTACAATTGTAGGGTCGTTCTCTGTTTTTCCACATAAACTAAATTTGATCCTACAATGAACCTGGCGAATTTTCGCACAGGCCTGAATAAATACTAGAATAGAAGAAGGGTGAAAATAACCCATTATTGATTCAAAATACTTAACAGAAAGGCAGGAACTTCGTGTGTTACAATGGCACCGTCAAACTTGCGGTGAAACTAAAAATAATGAATATAATTTAAGTCAAAATCTAAAATAAATAGTGCTGGATAGCAAGCAAGTTACGCCTAACAAGCTAACTCACAGAAACCTAACGGTTCACAAAACCTTTAGCATGATAAATCCGAAATGGCCAAGGGGCTAACAACGAAACGTGCGCTGGCTAGCGAAAACATGCTCTGGATAAACTCAGAGATTCACCAACTTCACTTAACTTTAAATTCACATCCTGGTGAGAGAATGTGAGGGGAAGTTGAGAAGTTCATTAAAGATATCAAACTTAAAATAAATTTGTTATTCAAAATAAGGGAAACCCTACACAATCAACTTCATTAATCAGAAAATTTGTTTAAATTTTTTATTACAAAATTGATACCAAATAATTTAAGGATAAAAAAAATTGTTTGAGTTCATTGGGAGACATAAGAAATGAGGGAAAAGGGGGGGAAATATGCACATAAAACTGCTGAAATTTATTCCTAAATGAAAAATAAAACAAATGGGGTTGGACTGTTCAGAATATTTGAAACTAATCTATTAATATAGTTTAAATCTACTTAAGTGCCATGACAATAATGTTATTTTATTTTGCAGTGACGCTGCTGGCTCACCTCCTCAAAATGGCCTTTTCGGAACTTTGGTTTGCATAGGAGGAATGTTTGGTATGTAATTTTTAAATTTCCGTGATAATCTCCGGCCAGGCCTTTGATTAAGCTTCATTACTTAATTTAGATCCCGTAACAAAAGATTGCAGGTTATTTTATCACAATATTATAGATACACTTTAACTCGAATTTATGAACAGTCAAGAATAAAATTTAGTTGTATAAAATAAAACTGTAAAATAAAATTAAAAGTAACAAATTAAAAAATTCTGCGAAATCGGGAAATTCTGAATGTTAAGTTTTACTTCTCCAATCAAATCATGGAACAAAGAAAATATTATTATTCTTCAAATAAACTGCACATCAGACCACATTATTAAAACTATTAGATATGGTAACAAATTCCGATCAGAATTCTCAAAAGTATGCACAGTGAGCTTTAGTTTTAGCTTTAGTATCTTTCTCACAGTAAAGGCATACTGCTCTTTAACTATAACTGTCATCTGAATATTAAAAAAAAAAACTCAGCGTTGACTAAATCTATGTCAATCAACGTTGTGTTTTTATACACTCAGTTTTACTTGGCATATCATTTTCTTTCTCATTTTCACATAGATATCATTTATTATCTTAAGAGAATTGTGTGTGTATATGTACAGGATGTTGTCGAATTCGAGTTGCAAATCCAGAAGGGTGATAATAGGCATCAACAGGAAGAAAAATTACCATAGAATATTCAGTCGCAAACCACATTTAGTTCGGTGAAAATCGCAAGAACATACGTCGAGAGGACAATGAGCTTAACGAAGAGAGTGGCCAAACAGATGCGAGAATTAGAAGTACTTCGAAAGAAGAAATCTTCTCATATGCAAATTTCCAATGGGAAAAATAAAAGCAAAGGTCGATAAAAAGAAACCTTCTTGTATGCACATTTCTCATGCGTATGGGGAAATAAAACCAGGGGCCAAGTATTAATTATGGGACCAGAAGATCGTAGACCACTTATAAAGTGATGATCAAGGATGAAGGACCATTATTTGAGCAGATTTTAGGTGATGTGATTTCGATAGCTTCCAGGAGCTGAAGTCTGGTTTCAGAAAAGCGGTCTTCTGTTAGCGTGTACCTGAGAATCTTAGACGTGGTGCTAGATATTATTTCTACCCTGCGTATTTATATTGATTGCTCATCAAAGGTTGGCACGCGGAACTTTGGTTCAAGCGTGGTGCAAAGCGACCTTATGAGTATAATGTGCTTCGGCACTTGTATCATTTTACTATCTGCTACTGAAATTCCATGGATTTGGATTATGGAACGAATTTTGGACTTTATCGCAAAGAAAGTTTAGAGAATCCAATCGGGGCAGGAGGAAAATGGAACCTTCACAGTAAAAGAAACTGTCGAACTGGACATACTGAATAAATGAAAGGATTCATTAATTTAGAATTTAACCGACAGCATACTGGAACACCTACTGAACAGACGATCGTTCCTTCCTTCAGAGAATTAACCCATGCCTGTGTTCCCTGTGCTACTTTCACCACTTCCCAAATCTGATGACGAAAAGCCAAGCGCACATTGAAGATGAAGCAACGCAGAGCAACAATAAAAGCCCAAGAAGCCTGATGCCTAAGTATAACGTTTCTGTACCAAATCCGTATGATGGCATCCCGATAGGTGATGAAAAAGTTAAAGCAAAAAATGCAAAAAAGGACAACTACTCACGTAGTCATAACAGGCTTACTGAAAGTGTCCGCTCCTCCATCTCCCCGACAGCTTGCCAATCATTGTTGGCGTAGATCTGAATGCAAAGAACACTTTGGGTTGGAAAAGCTCTAATATAAACGGCAAAGCCTTGCACGAGTTCATCTCACCTGAAACAATCCCATCTCAATGTATACCCCTAAAGAAGTTACGTACAGACAATTTCACCCAAGAACCTAGGAAGACAATCTGACATTCTCGTCTTAATACTTACTAACTCTGACATCCATATTGCAATAGATACTATGGTAGAGCTCACTTCGGACCACTTTCTGGCGCAGGTGTTTTGAGTATCTCAAAAATCAAATCGCCCAAGGGCAAAGCTCGTACAGAGTGGTTGCTTTTTCATAATATCCTCAAGAAAAACTCACCTAAAAGCAAAGGTCTCTTAAATAAATTTGATATCGATAAAACAATTGAAAAATTTACCACGTGCTTAAACGATGCTTATCACGAAGCCACCAACATTGTAACTGTAAAGAATTTTGAAGGGAAACTTGCCCCAAACATTAAGCAACTTATTACAATAAGAAACTACCTACGCAGCACATGGCAGCTTACGTTGGATCGGGCAATCAAAACAGAGTTAAATCGCTGTAGCAAGATGTTTAAAAAAGAACTTCAGAAATTCCGTACTTAAAAGTAGGAAGAAAAAATTACAGATGTAGAGCTAAAGGATGAATCCTCCTGGAAATATCTCAAATCTCTACACTTATGCAAAGAACAAGTATAAGTGTAATCAGTCTATTATTGCGGCGAACTCTACTGCATACACAGCTATTGACAAAATGAGAGTTTTCTCTGAACACCTAGAACAGAAATTCACCCCTGATATGACAGGTAGACCCAGAGTGTATCACACAAGTTGGAGAATTTGTTGATTCTTGGATCTGTGCCCCCTCATAAAACCCTATACCTGACCTCATTACTCCTGGTGAAACTCAAAATGTGATACATAAGTTGGACATTAAGAAGGCCTCGGGTCTTGACGGACATACTAACAACATGTTACAGAATTTACTTTCCAGCACTATCGCCAAATTCACTGAAATTTCCAATGCCTGCCTAACCTAAGTTATTTTCCCGATCCTTGGAAGAGTGCCAGTCTTTGTTCTCGCCAAGCCTCAAAGAAACACCTCCAAAGTAGAGAATTTTCGCCACATAAGTTTTCTTTCCAGTCTCCGCAAAATTTACGAACGCGTTATCTCAAAAACAATGACTTCATATTTTCAGCTACTTTCCTCAAAGCAACTATCTACTTCGAAGCAACCAGTCAGACTAGGTAAATTTATAGCGGCAGCTCTGCACCAATAGAAATATACGTCACTCCTTACGAAGGATGTGGCGAAAGCGTATGACCTTGTCTGGCATAAGGGATTGATCTACAAACTAAGATGATCAAAGATGAACTTTAATAGGAAAATTATTCTTTTCCTCAATTCCTTCCTTACCGGTTGAACTTTTAGTGTCAGTCACGGAAATGTCTGTTCAGGCTTCAGAAACGTCACTGCAGGAGTGCCTCATGGTTCTTGTCGCGCGCCCATCCTCTATCTTTTTCGATTTCGTAATCGATTTTCCCAGAGATAAACTGGATCATAACTCTATGTTAGATTGCTATGCCAACATTACGCGATAGTCGTGAGCTCTATCCAACCCAATAATACCATCTCCTACCTTCAGGACTTTATTTTGGATATTGAGGACTGGTGTAAAAAATGGAGAATCAGCATAAATCTAAGCTTCTATTGATAAGGAGACGCAAGATTCGGAATATAGCATTGAAAACCTGTGCTTATTATACAAGTTGTGAATTGTGTAAATAATGTAAATTTTCTAGGAGTTATCTCTAACCAAAAGCTCACATCGACTTGTAATATTAAGCATATCATAGGAAAAGCCTCTCTTATCGCCCACCTGCAGTCCTCGGAAATTACTCTGGATTGTCTCTCAACAAAAAGAGATGGCTATACATATACATTATAAGGGCAATTCTATGTTACGCATCTGCAGCCTAGGCGACAGCCTCAAAGACAGACTTCTACAAACTTCAGATAGTACAAAATAAGATTCTAAAAAGAATTGTAAATGCCCATTACCCGATTAGGAACAAACGGATTCCTGACGATTTTAAAATCGACCCTGTAGTGGATCACATTACTAAACTTGATAAGCGTTTCTTCAAAACTGGACTTCGCCGCGATGCTGCAAATTTTTCAGAAGTTCTTAAGTACTGAATAATTCCTGAAGATAATTTTACCAGACCATTTGCTATTCAGATACTTAAATATCACAAATTCGTAACCTAACTTTGACTGCCAACGTTTACTTGTTTCCTTGCGTGGCGTGACTTTTGTCTCTCGCCGCTTTCCCTTAGACTGGCACATATGCAGTAAAGGAGATAATGGTCTCCCCTCGTTTATTTCACTTGCTGGACCGTCTTTGAGTTTCACCTGTTAGCTCATGTCATATTACACTAACAAGAAATACGTGGATATGCATTTGATCGGCTCAGCAGGAGGCAATGAACGCCTAACACAGAGGAAGTACCAAGAGCAGTAGCCCAAGGAGGTGTTGTCCGCACCACACCACCTTAACAAACATCGATCGACGGCTGCAGGAGACCGGAATCTTTCTAAATAACAAGACGTAATGCAGAGTAAGAACGTAGTATTCGCATAGCTGAAACATAAAACCGAGTATTGCAACGGTTTACCATTTCTCCATCGATTATCACACGATCAATTGCAGCTAAACTGGTTATACAGCACAAAATGGTGTGGAAGGTTTTGCTTGAGGAAAACATACATTCCTTTCACCTGCAGAAGGTTTAGCTCCTAGGCGATGCCCATTACCTTTTTCGGGTACAGTTCATATGCTGAATGCTTGATGCCACACAGAATAATTAAGTTCCCCCCATTGTTTTATTTTCAAATGCAGCCGCACAATACGCGTATATGGATGCCCGAAAATCCTCACAGCAACATCTCGTCGAAAGCGCAACACAAGTTTGGTATTAACATCAGGCAGGGATTCTCGGATATCATCTGCTGGAACCATGCCCTCTACCCGAACGCCTCAATGAAGCAAATTTCCTGGTTTCCCTTGCTCCTCTACAGCACGTCCTCCTCCCGGATTTGACGCAGGGAATGCAGGTCATTGGGCGCCCAAGCATATGGGTCATGCATGATGGTGCACCAACACATTTTGCGATTGCGGTGCGTAAACACCTCGATGCTACATATCTCGGGCCGTGGATTGGACGCGGCGGACCTGTTGCTTGGCGTCCACGCTAACTGGATCTCAAGCTCTTGGATTTCTCCTTCTAGGGCCATCTGAAATCGGTAGTATATCAGATGCCTGTGGCTGCACGGGAGGATCTAACGGCTCGGATCGCTTCAGCAGACATCGCCAGTACAACCAAGTATGTTTGAAACGCGTCCGGTAATTCTTCCTTCCGTTACGGCTGTGCAATGACTTTTGCGCCCTCAGTTTAGAACAATTCCTATAAAAATATCTTCTCTTTCCTAACGGTGAAATGTGATGCACCGCAATCCTGCTTTATGATCAACTAAATGTTTTTCTACTTATTATTGGCCCTTTTTGTCCCAATCGACGTCAATTCACCTTCATAACTACACTCATATCCATAAATTAAGAAACGCGGAACCGAACTCTAAAATAAATTATATCACCTGTAAAATCACTACACACATCTTCAAGAATCATATGCGATTTTCAGGAAGTAACCAGATGACACCGATGGTACGTCAAAATGACGAGAGTGTAAGAGAGTGATATATAAGGAATACAGGCAAAGAAGTAAAATTGTTCGCAGGCGCTAAATAAGCATTTCAGTGAAATAACCGAATAGTTATGACACAAAGGATGCATTTGGATGATTTTTTACGTGGTAGAATTATCGGCTGGCTGGAATGTGGGCGTACCCAACTGGAAGTATCAGACGAACTTGGAATTGCCCAGAGTGTCATTTCCAGGCTTTGGCAACGATTCCAAGATGATGGTAATGTGAGTAGACGTTACAGCATAGGTCGCCCCAGAGTTACAACGCCGAATGAGGACCGGTATTTGACAGTTACTGCCAAAAGAAACAGGCGGAGCACAGCCTCGGGCCTGTCTCGTCAGCTCTCTTCAGCCACTTGTACGACAATTTCAAGGCAGACCGTATACAGACGCTTAGGGCAGATTGGTCTACATGGTCGCAGACCTGTCAGATGCGTTCCACTTACTGCAACTCACTGTCGCCTGCGGTTAGCCTGGAGTAGAGAGCATGCATTGTGTATACCGCAACAGTGGGCTTGTGTGATGTTTTCCGAAGAGTCCAGGTTTAGCTTGCTGTCTTATTCTCGCCGGACTTTTATATGGAGATCTCCAGGTACCCGTTACCACCAAGAAAATATCATTGGACGACACCGTTACGGTGGTGCAGGAATGCTCGTTTGGGGTGGAGTTATTCTAGGTTCCAGAACTGACCTGCATGTTTAAATTGGAACCATGACAAGCCAAATCTATCGGGACGTCATTCTGGAACAACATGCACGTTTGTTTCGGGGCGCCATGGGCGCACAATTTGTGTTTATGGAGGACAACGCCCGTCCTCACCGTGCAAACATCGTAAGCGAATGCTTTCAATCGGAGGATATCACCCGTATGGACTGTCCAGCATTCTCACCGGACTTGATTCCAGTAGAGCACGTGTGGGACATGCTTGGCCGACGAGTTGCAGCCCGTCAATCTCCTCCTACATGTCTACCGGAACTTCGGAGAGCACTGCTTTTTGAGTGGTGTAATATCCCCCAAGATCAGATCGATAATAATTTGATACTCAGCATTCCTAGGCGTTGTACGGACTGTATTGCATCGTCTGGGAGACATACAATGTATTAACAATCATACCAACCATGTAATGTTGGTTTTTTGTAAATAGGTTTTTTTTTTTTTTTTTTTTTTTTTTTTTTAATTTGCTCCAGGGAGAAAAAATCGCTAATTATTTTAATAATATCAAACATATAGCATCCTTTTTTGCTCTTTACTTTTTGTTTAATAAATAAGCTTTACAAATAAGTCAAATTTGTTTTGCTTCTAACTCTTCCTTTGCTTGATTTTGCATTATCCGTAATTTATGGACATGAGTGTAGTTTTGTGATTTTCTCCCACTAAACGTTATTTTGTGATCCCCTGTTATATGGCGATTTTTCATCCTTTTGATGCGTGCTATCACTCCTCTGAACCTCTCTGTCGAACGCTGTATATATACTTCTGTTTTTTAAATAAAAACTCAGAGTTAACTTGTCACTTAAGTTTTTACAGAAGACATTAGTCATATTATAAGACCTAAGTCATTTTAATACACTTATTTAATAGTATGATTTATAATATGACATAAGTTATTTTATAAGTCATACTATTAGGCAATTATATTAAGATAAACCATTGTTTCCATGCCTATGAGCGCCCACCAGCGGCCGAGCGGTAAAGTCGCTGAACACTGGTAGTTCGGTCCGAGATTCGAATCCCGCGAACGGGCTGGCTGCATGGGTGTTTTCGTGGTTTTCCCCATGTGTAACGTGTATACGAGCCAGTTTCCCTTAGAAAGTCCTCCACGAAAGGCATCCCTCCTCTTAGGCAGATAGCCCTAGTGTGCTTTGCCATAATTAAATACACCAAACACCATGCCTATGAATTTACTTGTTGTCATTTTTCTACATATCTACGAACAAGCTTTATCAATAATATGCAGTGGAATAGCTATTTCACCCCCTGTTTACATACAAAATTTGAGGAATCGTAGGTCAGCGGAATCTCCGAACTCAATGATAGCCAGAATTTTTATTTATTTCTTTAAAGTTTAGGAAATTTGCCTTCTTAGTCATTATTTTCCATAACTTCAAATCATTTCCAGTTTCTGTTTCATAATATTTACTGCTATATACATTGATTTAGAGGATCATTCATTTGGTGCTCTTCAAGATTATAGCTTAGCAAAATCGAATTCGACAAAACGACTCTTAAGCACGTTCTGCAAAAATTTACTTTACAGTTGAAATAATCACATGTGTCATATTTCATGACTTCGTGATGAAATACTAGCACTCTGTTTGTCAAAAGATTCCCTCATATAACATTATGCATCTGCTCAGAAAAGGGTAAATTTTAGCAAATTTAACGAAGAGACTTATACTTACTAATAAGCTTCTCAAAGTATGGTATTGCATTATTATTAATAATAATTATGTGAATTTCTTTCTCTCTTGCCTTTATTTTGCATACTAATTTTTCTAAGCATATAAAAACGTCTCTGAACGTCTTCTGAGATATGGAAGCACAGGAAGAATCATTTCTCCAAACGTTTTGAGTGTTAAAATTTCTAATCCTTTAGGGTTCAACTATTTGTTTTAGACTAATAGGAGTTTAAGCTTGAAAGCTTACGTTAAAGATTTCATTAGGATATACGCCCAGTTAAGCTTTTTTAAATGTTTCAATTTTCACTCTTATATTATTTTCAAAGATGAATAATAGTCCATCAGCGGCGGAGCGGTAAAAACCGCTAAACACTAGTCAGTCGGTTCGGGGCTCGAGTCCTGGCGAGAACGGCCTGGCTGCATGGACGGTTTTGTGGTTTTCCCGATGTGGAACGTGGATATGAACCAGTTTCTCTTAAAACGCCCTCCACGGAGCATCCCTCCTTATCATGTAATGCTTAATGACGGAGCCTGTAATAAATGATAACCTGAGTAATAAGCTGCATGAATATAGAATTTTAGAATAATTAGAATATGACGTATAAATTTTTATTAAAGAAAGAAAAGCAGCTCAGTTCCAGGCAGCAGTATCAACCAAATTATGTAGTCTCATGGCCCAGAGTATATAGTTGCTGTGGGGGAGGAAAGTTCTAAAAGAAAATATTGTAATGATGCAGTAATATTAAGTAAACATATATAAATATTAATATTTAATACTAACTATTGGTTAACGTAAAGCTTTAAGAAAGAAAGAATTTTTTTACGTAAGATCACAATATAACTTTTATGTCTCTTTTTTCGGGGGGTAGGTAGACAAGAACTTGCTTGCTTAAATGCTGCCTCCTAAATTAAAGTAACTTATTTAAAATATCCACCCATTTGAATAAGTAATTACTGTTAAGTATCTTATTTACAGCTTTTGGAATGTCATATGAACTATACTAGAATTACATTTTATGATTCTATAGGTGTTGCTTTTATGATTCTGAGGTATATGATTGTCCTAGAGCAGAATCGAGAGAAGAGTAACGTGGTAACTATTGTCAACAAACTCAGTCTCTTTGCTGGCATCACATCAATGCTTGGAATTACTTTAGTCACGGGATATCCTGTAAACTTCTACAGGAACAGAGACGTCTGGGTAAGTTTTTCAGTTAAATTACGGTAAGTAAATACTTCAGAGTTCTACTATTGTAGTCAATATTCTTGACCACAACATCGTAGTCCCTTTCAACTTATGATGTAATATCTTTTTGACTTAATTACATATTATATGCAATTATTCTTGAGTACATTTTTACTGACGCGCTTTTATATGTTATAAAAGTTTGTGTCAATATTTTCAATTCACACAGACAAATGCAGCTGCCCTTAGTAAAAATATTGACAGAAACTTTTGCATCATACAGACATGAGTTAGTAATAATGGAGTCCAGAATAAAATGTTTAGAAGGAGAAAAATTGTGTAATGGCATTGTAGATACCATTATTTTATATCGATGCAGCAGACGTGAAAAATGTGCAATACCTTCACCTAGATTCGAACACTGGACCTCCCGACTGCTAGTTGAACGTGTTATCCAGTTACACCACGAAGGCACGCGAAAAGGAGGTGTGCCATACAGCCCTTTTATTTAATGTGAAGTTCTTTAATATGTATTCTGAAATTCATTATTTTACAACCGGAAATTTTAAATTACTATGAATGTTTCAATCGAGCTTAATTTATCCTTAAAGAGGATTTTTTAATTATTTTTATTATTTATATATATTTTTTAAAGATTTCTCATTCGATTTGTCAATAGAATTCTCCCTAGATCACCCGACTAAATGTTTCGCAAGTTACTTAACCAAAGTACATTGTTATGCTGGAAACCTGGGATTCCTGAGGCTAGGAAATTTTATTAATAGTCTACATGTTTAATAAAGTATGTCACTTACATCCTCACATTTAAGATTTAAACATACACAAGGTATAAGTAATTTAACATCTGTGGAATTTCATGTTGAATGCTGTAGCTCTTTATAAGAATAGTTACCGAAGCTTCTACTGTGGATTATCTCGTAGGAAGCTGTGATTGCTGAAATTTTAAAAATTCTTATACACCCAAAAGATGATTTCATCTGTTGATTTATTATTGGGAAAATAAGTAAATATGTTTAGGTACCTTACTATTGTAAAACTTTTGACAGTTGTTCGCCTTGGGAGAGTATATGAGTTATGCGTGACAGTCACGAAACATTTCCATACTGCAAGCCAATTGCCACAATATTGTGGAATAAGAATCGACAGTGGCAAGTAACTACAATAACTCAGTTTATTCACTATGTCTAGCAAGCTCTTAATTGTAGTAGTTAAAAGTTTTATGATATATTAGTGAATCGTTTTCACTTATCGGTGGTGGATAAACTAGGCTAAATAAATAATTTGCTTGAAACATTTAAACAAAATTAAAAAAACGATACTATGTTATTTCTCCAAAATAAAGCATACTTTTTTCTTTAATTTGTGATTTTATTTTTAAAGCAGCACTCTTTTCCCCCGTACGCACTTCCAAATAAGAAGCGAATAGGATTCCATAACAATACCTTGTAACCTTCGTTGAACTGATGTCCTGTAGCTCTCGTATCGTATCGGGTCTTAATCTTCTCCGTTGCTAAGTTCACTCGCTCTCGAGCAAAATTGTACATCACTTGGAAACTGTGACTGGAGATACTTCAGGCGATGAAGGGGCATCAGGATGCGACGAAACAAGAGATAACAAGGCAGACGAAGGTCACTTACGGAACAGCATCGAAGATAGAAAATAGCTGGTAGTCTCGTAGACAGCGTTGCGATAGGCCAGTAAGAACTGAGGTAACTTCTGTTCCCAGTCCTGTTGGTTTCTGGATACCACCAGCGAGAAGTTGTTAAGGATAGTTCGATTAAACCTCTCTACCATGCCGTCTGACTGGGGATGTAAGAGTGTCTTTTGGGTCGGTCGATGTTCTTTAATTAAGCCGAGGTAAATTTTCTTCCTTGACCGCAATGAAACAGAAAAGACACTCCGAACCTAAAAATACTGTGCTGTATCATTACCTCTGCTACCGTGACAACTTCTTGATCGGGATAGAATACGCATCAGGCCACTTCGTGAAGTAATCAGCGACAACAGGGAAGTGTTTATTGCCATCAGCAATTCGAGGCAGAAGTACTAGGATATCAAAGGCGATGCGTTCAAAAGGTGCTCATATATATTGTAACGTTCCAGCTTCCCTCGGCTGCATTTCTTCGGTATTTTTTGACTCGTACATGCATCGAAGGATTGGCACACCAATTTTCCACGTCAGCCCTTGCATTACTCTAGTAGAAGCGCTCTCGAACTCTATGCAAAATCTTCATTATTCCTAAGTGGCCTCCTGTCGGGCTGCTATGAAATTAGTTCTTTAAGAACGTCCGAAAACAGGGATCTTGGAAGTATCAGCTGCCATTGGAATGCCTCTGCATCATCTGATTCGAACATCTGGTATATACGCCCTTTCGAATATGGAGTGAGTTCCAGAGAGTCCAATACTATTTCGTCGCAGATTTATAGATCGAAATGTCCTTCCAGGTAGGTTTCCTATTTGAAAATTCCATTAAGTCAATTATGGGTTTAATGTCGCCGCCTTCTAACTGGTCTTTCCTGATTTCTTCGTTATTCCATGGGTTTGGATCAGACAAGATTGAATTCGTAACCTGATCTACAGCCTGATTAAGCAGCTCGTATTTTTTCCTTCGACATTGGAACAATATCAGCAGCTTTCTCAGCAGGGTCTTCTAGTTAGGGCATTGGCATTTACATGTGATGATCTCTTTCGATGACAGATAATGATGTCATACCACTGGAGTCTCTGTATCTATCTGGTTATTTGGCCATCGGTATTCTTGAAATTTGAAAGCCACATCAACGATGCATGATTTGTGCGGAGCAGGAATTTTCTGCCTTACAGTTAATGATGGAAATGTTATACGGCTTTAACTATGGCGAGTAACTCTTTTCTAGTGACAATAATTCTTCTCCGGTTTAGAAAGACACTTGCTCCAGTGTGCTACGATACGTTCTCAACTGTTTATTTCTTGAGACAAAACAGCACCGACTCTCTCATTGCATCTATATCAAGAATAAATTGTTTGTCGAGATAAGGATACATCAGGATTGTCGCAGATGATAAGGCTTCCTTCAGTTTGTTAAATGCATCCTCACATTCTTTTGTTCACAAGAACTTTTGTTTGCTTCCTATCAGCTTGTAAAGGGGGTCTTGCGATGGAAGAAAAGTCCTTCACAAATCTCCTATTGTAGCTGCAAACCCCCTGTAAACTTCTCAGTTGATCGACATTTTCGGGGCGTCTCCAGTCTTTAACTACTGACACGTTTTCTGGATCCGTAAGCACACCTTCTGCAGATATGACATGTGCGTGGTAAGGCATTTCCTTTCTGAATAATTTCCATTTGGCGGTACTTATTGGCTTGTTTCACTTTCTGAGATTTTTTAAATGTTCTTCAAAAGTTTTCTGTTTTCTCGACGATGATTTTGTCATTCAGGAATGTCAGAGGGGTTTCCTAGGAAAGATCTCTCAAACCCGGTCTCCATAAGGCGTTCGAATGTTGCCAACGCATTACATAATACAATCGGCATCACACAGCCAAAGTGCTTGTTCGATAATAAATGCAGTCTTTTCTCAGTCATTAGGGTGTGCCTCTACCTGCCAATATCCACTCTAAGTCAAGCATCGAAGCACACTTGTTTCCAGAGTGTTCAGAATGTCGTCAACGCAAAATTTGGTTGAATTATCCTTCTACTGACCAGGGCGATTGGAGAGGCCCAAAGACTTGTTGAAGGATCGATACGTTGCTTTCTTGCATGTTCTTTAGAAGTTTTCCTACCTTATCTTGTTTAGCAATCGGTCGACGTCTTGGATGTCGCTTGATTGCTGGACGATCCCCTGTATCAATTCTATACTGTGTCAAACTGTTTCGACCTATGTTAGAAGATAAGCGAGAGAAAACATCTTGAAATTCTTGTATGACACGTTCGACATTCGGAGTACTGAGATATCCGTGAGGTGTTCGCCTTTTAAATGCGCTTTGCATTGCGCTGTGTTTAACCTTCTTAATAGTCTGAAGTGTAACTACTCACTGCTCTCTGTGATACCGAGAAGAGCTGTACGGGTATTTTTGTGAAAAATTCTAGTTTCTTTTGGTGTTTCTTTTGGTGAAATAAATTTTATCAAGTTATCGTCGTTCTGTGTGTATTCAGTCGATTACGAGCCCGTACGCATGCAGCATTATTATTATGACTAACTTAAACATGTTAAAACGGGAAGATTTTCTATATTTCTTGTTCATCAGTGCCTAGATTTAAAATTTTTTAGATTATAGTAGACAGGGAGTGACTAAAGATCATGTTTATTAAATTTTGTCTTTGCAATTTTTTTTAAGTTTCCTTAAATATTACATCATTTGATTCCATTATTTGGCCGAATTCTTTTTTAGATCCTTCTTTTGCCTTACTAGTATTTCAAAAACTTAGTTTAAAAAACAGAAATTTTTCCTCCAAAATTAAAAGAAAACAAATTACGAAGACAACAGTTTTAACCACAATATTTAATTGGAAAATTTTTGGTAGTTTGATTAATAACGGCAGAAAACTCGAGCTTATGATTATGATTATTCGGGTCGCGACAAAGAACTCGAGGGCTGTTTGCCCAAAGTGAGAAATGCCTTCGAGAAATTCTCTTTAAGGATAACTGACTCATATTTGTATTACACGTGAGAAAAGCCACGAAAACTCACAGGCAGACAGACCACTGCCATGATTAAAATCCTTCGAAATACCGGTGTTCAGTGATATTACAAGCCCACCAGAGGCCGAGCGGTAAAAGTCGCTGAACAGTGGTAGTTCGGTTCGGAATTCGAGTCCTGGCGAAATGGGCTGGCTGTACGAACGTTTTCGTCGTTTTTCCCATGTGTAAAGTGGATACGAGATAGTTTTCCTTAAAAATCCTCCACGCGGCATCTATCCCTTTCCATGTAGAGCCTAATGACTGAGGATATAATAAATAAAAAGGAATTTTACAAACACCCTTGAACTATCTGTCATAAGAAGAATTTTCAAGGG